AACACAAAAGCATGAGAAGCACGGCACAGGAGAAGCAGTGGAGATGACGGCATTACATAACGACACATGCTTTAGGCTGACTCAGATTCCTTCTCCCTCTCGGTCTGCGAGTGTGGACAGATTCAAGTGTCTGTTTCTATAGCTACAGCACAGAGGAGGCAGGAACCAGCTCCATCTATTGATCACCATAATGGAGGAGTTCGTACAGTACGACAATGATTCAAGAGTTAAAATGCAGCACAGATTTAATCACACAATAACACTAGTTTATACATAAAATGCCATTATGTGGTATTAGCATTAGTGCTGATGGCAATAAATTGATTAACAATGGTGTAATCATTAATCAGTCATTAATAGTCTTCTACCCATTTAGATCCAGGCTTCTAGTACCAGTAAGAGTATCTCTGGTTTTGCAAAACAAATGACTGTATGCAAGCAAGGAGCCTTACACTGCTGACTCCAACCACTTACTTTATTTCAATAATATTGCTCCTAGTGATATCTTAAAGTGAAGGGGGAAAAATGACACCTTTACAATGAGCCACGCGTGTTTGGATACACTACCAGATCACATTGTACTAGACTGGTTTCTGCTGGCACTGAGAGGTGGAGCCATTGGTTATTCACAGAGGGAGCCAGAGAGGGAGGTTATTGGTCCAAGCAGACTTTCAAAGGTGTGATAAATGAGACTTCCCTCATTGTATTAAACTCCCTGATGACACTCTGCTGGGAAGCACTCCAAAATCACTTTGCTTTGCCCCTGTTTGCTGAAGCAGGCCATTTGACAGCCAACTAACTACTAACATTAAACACTCTAAAACAGGACTGGGGTCAAAGTCGGCCAGGAGCAGCTACATCCAAGTGTGCAGCATCCATTTCAGTCTATGTGCTGCAGAGGGAAACCAGACCAAAGGCTTGATAGCCTGGGAAACCCACTGTTCTGTGATGAACTGTAGAAACATGACCCAAAAACTGATGGCATCTGTTATATTTCCACAGCTATGCAGTGAGGCTTTAAAAGGAGGTCACAGGAATGCCACAGGTTCACAAACACATTAACCAATGTGTCCATCAAACCAAGGTTGAACCAAACCTCACTCCCTCACTAATTGCGTCCATCCATTTGCTATACTGCTTCCCCTTTGAGAGTCGCAGGGGGCTGGAGCCAATCCATCCTGTCATTGGGCACCATAGACAGGTTGACAGTCCATCACAGGAACTTCAGACACTACAGGCGGATTGGGGTCTCTAATTAATCTAATGCTGCATGTCTTACACCAGAGGAAGCTGGGCATCCCAAAGAGCATCGCCCTCTGTAAGGCCACTGCACCACTGCCCCACCACTAGTTGCATCCTGCTCTGAATGCAAGTTCCAAATAATCCTACTACTGTGTTTTGGCATCTGAAGTTCCACCAGTGACACTCTCCATAAAGCCAATAACCAGGTCCCTCAAACTTTTTTCCACTACTCTGTCTTGATGGTGATTTAGAAGATATAGATGTGTTTGTTTGGAAGCACATGTTTGCCTGACAGGAACACCTTAGTCTTTAACTGGTTATATTGTGGAATTTGTTCTTTTGGGGAACTGGTTTCAAAAGACCCTGTTAAGAGCCTATGAGTGAGGTCATCAAAACAGCAATCATGTTTCTCCACAGTTTACAGATTAAAGTGTGTTATGGCTGTTGGATGGCAACAGGATGGACAGCAGATTACTTCTCACCAAAAACACTATTCCATAATACAATCTGCAAACATCAGCAGCAGAAGGCAGGGATTATAAAGCACATGTTAACCCTCATGAACTTAAAAATGATCCACAATGACTCACAAGCTCCCTGGCTAAACGCAAGTTCTCCGAATTTTCTGTACCACACTGACAGGATGTACAGAAACGGGGATGGACTATTTTTTATGTTCCCTCTGAGATGCACATGAATTTGAGTCATCGTCGCAGTGACTGGGATTAGGGAAATTTGATCTGACACACGTGCATGCACAAGTGTTTGTATGTGCACGTGACACCTCTGCTCTGCCATGCCAAAACTCCCATATTCTGGCTCTTATATAATCTAGCTTTCCTTTGATTTTGCTTAAGCATCACGTGGTGCTGAAGCAAGCCATAGAGGAGTCTGGCTAATTCTCTAAAGGTTACAGCACGGGCTGCCAGAGACAGAAGTGACTGTCAATCTGCCACTCGGGCTGCAGAGGTGGCAACGGCAGTGCAGTGCAGAAATGATGAGAGACTTAACCCTGAACAAGCAGGGGTCTACTTGTACTGAAATTCATTTGGATTTCAAAGTCCACTGCAATCAGATAATGTGTTTCTTTATGTGTATGTGTGACAAAAACACTTGAGACAACAATGTTGCGCTACAAGCTTAAGATTAGAGGACAGAGTCAAGTAAAGATGAGAGGGGAAAAAAGAGGGTGTGCATCTCAGTATCTATACTTAAGCAGGTATATGCACTTTAATGCCAAATGACTTTCAAAACTTAAATCCTTACAATAAACGGAGTGCTTCGAGAAGATGCGGTGAAAAAGAAATGCGAGAGACAAAACAGTGAAGCTAAGCAGAAAGGCTCTTGGGGGAACAGAGTGGCTGAGGCTTTGAGCGTCCACTCCCACTTTACTCAGCAAGTTAAGGATGTGTGGTCACTGCTTTACATTGAGCAAGTAACACAGGTTCAGAGGCTGATGAGAGAGAATGCTATTAAAGCATCCACCACATAACCAGGGAAGCTTTAGTAGTGATGCATTATGGTTGAGGGAGAGTGGAACTGGGCTGTCACACACTATCAACAGCCAGGTATGAGTCATCTTCCACAATTAGTTGTGTAGTGTCCTGATATTTTACACCCTGGGGTGAGGTGAACTGATGAATGGGCCGTCTCAGGTTCAGTATGATGGAACAAAGGAAGCGTACTTTACGGTATTCTTCAAAAAGGTCACAGAAGTGGTGGTGTATTTTTGTTCCCCAGAGTAGAGGAACCAGCCGAGTTCGGCAGAGATACAGAATTTACTTTATACAATATCAGCACACAAAGTGTAAGAGAAGCACAAAGGATGGTGGGAAGGCAAACAGATAATGAAATGACAGGTTTATAAAAGGACTGTGCCCTTTTCCCTCAGACGAGCTCATAGAGAAGACTGGACTGAGCCTGTTGAAATGTTAATAGTCTCTCTCACCTATTGTACACATCCAGCCTCTCACTGAATATCAAACGTGTTCAAGCAAATTAGGTACCACATTATGATGTATTCTGTCTTTTCACAGCAATACCAGAACCAAAATAGAAATATCAAAATAGTACACTGACTGAGTTTTAAGTCCCTGGCGATCAAAATTAATTATTGTATCGTTACACTGACACGATCCACTTTTGAAAAATGGACTAATGCATGCACTGTCAATTCATAGTCCAGTGCAATGATGCATTCACAGATCCTAGTAAATCACAGTATTTGATGTAATGGCCAACATTACAGAACCTTGCTCTGCCTTCACACAAAGAAACGAAACTCCATTCTTAACAAGGAATGCTCAAATGGCTGTCAGACTAATTTGGGTTCAGGGTCTTTCCCGAGGACACTTGCATGCATACTGGAGGAGCCAGGGATCGAACTGCCGACCTTCTAGATAACAGACGATCTGCTCTGTCCATGATAACAATATAACTGTTATACAGAAACTGAAACGGAGGGAATTTTAAAGGGATCGTTGAATGTAAATGTAGATTCTTTTTCAATCTTGATCATCACCTTGTAAAATGTGTAGTTCAATTGTAGAACACATATCCTGAATATTATCACACATCTTGCAATAATTGACTCTCACACTTCATTCACCAAAATAATTAATGATACACAACAATGTTCGATGTAACAACTTTGTACACTTGCATGGATTTTTAGCCTAATGAAGAGGCAGATGACTGAGCATGAATAACTTGTGTAGCTGCGTTTAGTGCCTTGAAGGGGTCTCACCCATCAAAGAACAGCTGCCCTCCAAACACTTCTGACTACATGTTTGAACTGTGTTTCTTTATGCTCTTTTATCATTAAAATCCCAAACACATGAACACCCAGTCTCCCTCTTCCTCTCCTATTCACTCCCTCTCTGCGGATTAAAGCATGGCAAACAATGGTGACACAGCAGAGCAAATCCCAAGAGGCTGTGTCATGTGCACTAAACTCCAAACACACACATACACAGCATCTCAACACCACAAACAGGGAATCCCAGCTGGGCATGATGGGATGTGTGTAATCACTGCAAACACTCGCTGATGTGAAACATAGCATTAAATCTGTTGTTCATTGTGTATGTGCAAATCAACCTCATTTAAATAGTGTTTTACAGTTGAGAAAAATCAAGGGTTGGCTAATTTACAGGGTAAAAGCATTAGGAACTGTTTATCAGTCGTTGTGTCTCATCGTAAATCTGAAAGCACTGTAAACACCTGATCCCAGAGCATGGTCACAGTAACTGAGCGTACTGTAGACATGTCAGGCTGACTCTACATCGCAGCGTGAGGTCCACATTACAGAGCAGATTAAAAATTCAGCATCAGACAGCTTGTGTCCTCGATAGGATGGAACATATAGTTCTACCTCCAGTTTTAAGTATGACTCACTCTCTCCAACGCTGTATTTCTCCAGGCTTTCCCCAGGCTCCTGTGCTTAGTAGCCAGCGAAAAGCCAAACAACAGCAGAAACGAGTGGTTTGCACTATCTGAGGCAAACAAGGAATAGGAGGAGTGAGTGGGAGGGAGCGGGGGGGGGGGACTCTTGTTATGGACAGCTACAGTGATGCACTCTGATTGTTAAGTCCTGAGAAAATGAGCTTTCTGTGTGCTCGCCGCCCTGGTTGTAACACAAACAGGCAACCCATGCGATGGAGAAGAGGAGGGGGTTGCTGGGTAAAAATGACAAGAGGTAAAGATAAATGGGAAGCGATGCGAGCAGAGGACTAAATAGATGTATGGAGGATACTTACTGCTGTAGAGGGTGTCGATCCAGGATAGCCGGGGCAGGCCATGAGCACTAAGGGGCTCCATCCTCTGATTTCTCTCCCTGTATCACTCACTCGCCTTCTTTCTTATTTCTTCAGCCCTTTTTTCCCTGTTGCAGCTTGTCACGTCGCTTCTTTAATTTCCCCTTATTCTTCAAAAACAGCATTCATCTCTCTCAGGAAGAGGAAAAAAGAAGCATTTGGAAAAAAAATTCAAAAGACACCCCCCGGGGTCCAACAGGCAGACGAGCAAGCAAGAGAGCCAGCGAAGAAGTATGTGTGTGAGTGGTGTGTGTGTATGACAGAGAGAGAGAGAGGCAGAGAGAGAAAGAAAACAACAGGCTGGAGACGACCACCGCCGACCGTTGCTAGGGGAAGGGAGAAGCACGCCTTCTCTCTCTTTGGCTTGCTCGCTCATGAACCACCTCTCTCTCTCTTGCGCGCTTCTGCGCAAACAGCTCATCAGCCTCTCTCGCTCTCGCTCTCTCTCTCTCTCTGAAGCAATGCATAATGACTGTGGACCAATGGGGGCTTGTGTCAAATGTGAATTAACTGGCAGATTCTCTGTTTCGCTTTATAGTTTGCACAATCAACTGCTGTCCCCTGTCTTTGTTTGTTAGTCAGGAGGATAATGTAAAAACTACTCAACTGATTTCCATGAAATTTTTTGGAGGAGTGGTACATGACCTGAGCATCCTTCTAGTTGAGATAAATACAGGTTTTGAACTATTTTAAAACTAATCAAATAATGATTCAACTACAAATTAAAAGCCGAAGCATGAACTCTGAGCATAATTTTCATAATTCCTCTACTTGAGTGCATCTATGTCAAGTCCTTTCGGCACATTGGTCCAGCTAGAAAGGGCAGTGCACTTAAAAGTGGCTCTGAAGCTCTGAACTAAAACTAACTAACTAACGTCTGTAGAGGATCATGGTAATAGGTCATATGCATTTTGATCTCAAAAACATCCTTTGTAACAGCACGAGATTCTTGCTTTATAAAACAGATTTAGTCAACTTCTTCTGATGAGTTTTAGAGGATTTTTGGTGCATGATGAAAAATTCCCTTCATGATCGTTGCCACCGACAATGAGCTGCTTTGTGCAAGACAGTCTGTCTTTGAGTAAGAAAAAGAGAGAGAGACTGGTTCAGATGTGTTTTAAGCTACTTCAGTCCTCTGTTCCCGTGGCAACTTGCTCTGCCCCACAGACACGTAAAAGAGCCAAATGAACATGAGCATGGACTGAGTTGATACAACGCAGAATAAAGTGATTAGAAAGAGGCACATCTTCTAAAGGCCCAGCATGTACTATATACATATGTATTATTTTCCTTCTCTATAAAGCGTATATTTCTAGTCTGATATCTGAATAAAACCATGATATGACCCCATTTTCAGTCCCCAACATACCCAGCAACACAACAATTTGTTTACAGTACAACTTCATCATGTCAGCAGGCCAACAAATCAACATCTTATCATGCAGTTAAGAATTTTCCCATTTGGTTTATTGATTTTCAAATTATCACTCTGTCAGGTACATTAGCTCATTGAGTGAGTTATCTCTCATGTTGCATCCTGTTCCCAGGAACAGAGCAGACAGCATCACCATACAGACCTCGCTGTGTTTACGAATGCATGTGCTACGGAGGGCAACCAGAGACGAGCATCATGCCAACAGTAACAAAGCCCGATATGAAACCCTCCCATCAAACCACTGTCAGGTCCACTCCTCCCCCCTTCATCCTCCTCTAACCAGCATGGGGGAGGAAAGACGGGAGGGTTGAGAGGCAGAAAAAACTTCAATTAGGACACAAAGGCTGACAGGAGGAGGCCCACCACCGCTGCCCCCCCTCCACAGGCAGAGCACCGGGCCCAGAGCGTCGCTCTTTGTCTGGCTACAGAGCTCTAATGTGCCAGCTGGAGGAAACACACATATTCAACGACAGGGCAACCAGACAGCTCATCTAGCCAGAGGTCATCTGTGTGTGTGTTTGTGTGTGTGACTGAAGGCATTTAATGTAAGCCTCTGTGTTTGATAATGCTTGTCAGGGTTATTAAAGAATAAAATCTCATTTGTTAAACAAAAACATTCAGAGTCAATCTTTCCAGATCGAACACACGAACAAACACACACACGAACACACACACACACACACACGCACACACACGCACGCACGCACGCGCACACGCACACACGCACATGGTTCATTTATAAGGAAATCCACGTAGGTAGAGGAGGAGAGATTTGGTGAGGGGCAAATCATAAAAAATTAATTTATCTACTGTACATCCTTTGTTTTAAAATCTGGGACAATAGGTCTCTCTCTGTCTCACTCAGACTCACAAACACACACCAACTGTACAATTATTTGTGTACATGTACCTTTTTTGTTTTGACTGAAGAAGCGCCCACCTCCTGCAACAGGCCTCATTATTCAAGGGGCAGAGCCAAACAAAGAAAACACACAATACATATGCAGACACACTAGCGTGCATGATAAATCTTCCTGGAGCCCCACAAACCTACATTTATCAAATATTGATACACACTACAGCTGTGTAGTAAAAACGGCCCATTACTAACTGTCTCTACAACATTTCAAAATACTCACAAATACACACACACATACACACTCAGCCCAGCTGGTGAAGGTACTGTTAGAGCAGATGAGGTATCAGTCTGGTTGCAGATGTTTAAGGAAGTTGTCGGGCTCTTTGTAGCACAACAACAAAGCTCAACACATCAGTAATGGTTCATTCTCCATAAAGGTCAACATTCAGCAATAGTCCACAGTATGTGTGTGTTTGTTGGAATAAAGGCTGAGCAGGTGGAATGAGGGGATGATAAGATCAGGACTTCAGGCTGTCATTATTTTAAATGTCCCCATATCGAAATTGGTTTTTCCCCAGGAAAGATGGAGTATTGTGCCAGTTCACCTACAGATCAGGTGGGATCTACTCAGTCTGCTCTTGTGGACACGTGCAAAGAATCCTATGTCTAATTATTGAGAGTGCAAAACAAACATGAAACAAAACCAGTGCATGGTTTGTCAGTGCAGTAAGAAATATAGACTACAACACAAAAAAGGCTGGAAAAATCAATGCTTGCCTCTGATCATGCATGTCATGCCACTGTGAGCAAATGCTATGCGAAAAAGGACAGCACCGGGTCATTGTACTGCATGATGCTCTAAGGCATGTTCAGGCTCCACAAAGTCAAATTTGTGTTAGAGGTCTTCTGCACCACCTACTCTCACAGGAAATTGGATTATTCACACCACTGTTCCTATTGAAAAACGGTTTATTGAGCCATCCTTTGAGGGCGTAAAGAAGTTTAAAACAACTGCCTCAACTTGAGGGAGTCAAAACTAAGAATGAGTGAAGAGATAAAGGTTGTGGAATCTTTAATTGCAACAAATAGAAGGCGGTAGAGTTTACTTTACACTGAACAAAATGATCTGCAACAACAACAACAGCATCAGCAAAGAGACATTTTTAAAAGGTAAGGATTTCCAGGCAAGAGTGTGAGTGTGAGTGTGTGTGTGTGTGTGTGTGTGTGTGTGTGTGTGTGTGTGTGTGTGTGTGTAATTAGGCAGCATACCATCCCACCAGTCAATCAAACTTCCATCGCTCTCCCACCCCTCCACCCTCCTCTCTGTTCTACCCAGATACCCCTGCCCCACCTCATTCCAACAACCTCCCCTACATTTTGACTCCAACCACAGGCCTGGTGGATGATTGGGGGGTGGTCTGTTGATAGAATAAATTTTCAGCTCACCACCCCACTGCTTCTCTCAGGGGCACTGTGTGTGTGTGTGTGTGTGTGTGTGTGTGTGTGTGTGTGTGTGTGTGTGTGTGT